TCACATATCAAACTTATTTTTCTCCACAACCAGCATGTTTCAGCCATGTTCTATGTTAGGATACCAGTAGCTTATTATTAATTATTACTACCAAGTATCAACTGCTAATAAGAGTAGAACTTGGTAGTTCTTGAGTTGGTGCTTTTAACTACTGTGCCTTTTTGTGCATTTTTTTAATTGGCCCAGTGTTAATTCTAACTGAGGTTTTTTTATGATTATATGTGTTGTCATTTAGTTTTCTCTTTAAAATGTTGGCAAAATGCATGATATTGTTCTTTAGCAATTTTCTCATTATTGATGAAGAACAAGTTAGAGTCATTAATATTATCCCCAGCAGAAGGTGCCTGAAACTTCTAAAAATAGTGTCAAACTCTAGATAAACACTGTAACTCCATGGTAGTTTGATTTGCAAGATGGCTACAAAGTGATAAGCAGTGAATAGCATTTACAGCATGGATATAGTAAACAAAAGAGTAATGCATCTCCTGGGCAGAACAGAATGGTGGTGTGGGGGAATTCATGATACTACTTATAAGAGCACACAACTTAAAATTTAGAAATTGTGTATTTCTGGAATTTTCTCTTTAATGTTTTCAAATCATGGTTAATTAGAACTGAAAATACAGAGAGAAAACCAATGATAAGAGAATACTCTTGCTTTCATTAAAGAAAATTGCTTTAAAGATAGGGAGACAGTTATCTTGGCAAAGATTGAAAAAGCAACACTTGTTTTGTTTTCCTTCTGTTAATTTTGTTGCTGGTATCCACATACAGCACATCTTTAGGTAACTGCTTTTAGTTAAATTTTTATCTCACGTCATAGAATAAAGTGATATGTTCATTCAATGAATAATTGAGAGCCTATTCTGTGCCATTGTGTTGTTAGTGCTAGAAATATAGTATAGTAGACAGTAAAAGAAGTGAAAGCTCTGCTCTTGGAGGTCTTTTATTTTAAAAAGAGAGTGACAATAAGAAATTGTTAGACAATTTCTTTAATGTGATATCGTGATGGTAGAGGAAGAAAGAAGCTACTGTTGGGGACAAGATGATGTGTAGTGCCACCTAACACACAGAGATCTGACTGTGCTGAGGGGTGCTAGTGTTGGCAGAAATCCGAAGTAGAAACATCCTGCAGTGGAAGGATGCCTGACACCTTAGAGAAGCAGCACAAAGTCCAGAGCAGTCTCTGCAGTGGATGAGGTACAGCTGCTTATTGTAATGTGTTCGGATACTTTGTCCAAACAAGAGATAGCTTGTTTTCAGTTGTCCTATTCATAGTGTAACCAGTTGCTCAGTATACATTTAAATGGACAACATGAGCTAAGGTGTGTGTGTGTGTGTGTGTGTGTGTGTGTGTGTGTGTGTGTGCGCGCGCGCGCACGCACACACACAAATAATCATCTAAAAACTGTAATTGACTAATAAAATGATTTAAAGATACTGTTAGTCCTCCAGCTTTTCATAGACATGTAAAATTTAAAGATACACATTCTTAAAAATATTTTACATTACTTAATATTGTCATTTTTATAGTTATTTGCATTTGTGCATGTGTATACACATGTGCATGCATACACAGCACACTACATATTTGGAAAACAGATAACAACTTGAGAGAGTTGCTTCCCTCCTTCCATCATAATGGTCACCGGGATCAACTCAGGACTTCAGGTTCTGCAGCAACTAAGCCATCCCACCAACCTCTGTTAATGCTAAAAGAGAATTGCCTAGGTGTAGCACATATTCATTGTGGATGTACTAAAACCTTTGTGGAATAATCATTCCACAAGCTTGCTTACAATTATAAGGAATGACTTGCCTCAAGACTTTATAACCTTAGATCCTGTGGGTTATCAGGAAACTCAGCTTCAGGGAGATGGAGGTTCCTCTTGTAGTGTGGAGCACGTAGAATGTGATGATTTGAATGAGAATGACCCTTTCAGGCTCATATATTTGAATGCTTTGTCGTCAGTTGCTAAGATAGGAGAGATGAGGAGGTGTTACCTTGTTGGAGCAGGTGTGGCCTTGCAGGAGATGTGTCACTGGGGGTGGGCTGTGAGGTTTCAAAAGCCCACACCAGGCCTAGAGCCTCCTTCCTCTCTTCCTACTCATCAGGATGTAGCTCCTAGCTCCTTCTCCAGCATCATGTCTGTGCCTCCGTGCTCCCCACCAAGATGATAGCGAACTGACCTTCAGAAACTGTGAGCAAGCCCCCAATGAAACGCTTTCTTTTATAAGAGGTGCCTTGGACATGGTGTCTCTTCGCAGCAATAGAACAGTGACTAAGACACTTTTCTGTTATCTGGAAAATCCTGTTTCTGCTTCCTGGCCTAAAACTTCCTTAGTTTAGCCATCTATCTGTGTCTCAGCAAGCAAGAGAAAAGTAGTCTTTCCCTTTTAAAGGATATTTTCCAAAAATTATACCCCTTTTATCTTTTATCTTCTGGGCAGACCTTACACAGCACGTGGCAAAAACTGAGAAGTGGAATTTTTTATGCTCTGGGCCATTTTTTAAAAGAGAAATTGGGGTCCTCTTGTTGATGGGTAAGCATTAGTGTCAGTTTATGCACCACCATCCTTCTAGACTTATAGTGAGGAATTAGTTCTATAGCAGCATCTTCTTTTACACGTTCTTTTCTATTGACATTGAAATGTTCTACAATCCTCTGTGCATTCCTTTTCCTGTATCTTGTTATCAGTAGGAAGTCAGTATCAAGGCAGTAAGTATATAAGAGAATCAAGCCAGTCACGTTCCCATCCTGCCAGTCATTCCTACCAATGATGAGACCTCAGGCGAGTGATAAAGTACCTTCACATTCAACTGGAAAGAAAATGGTATGAAATTCAAGGGATTGTTAGTTGGAGCAAATACCTGGCAGTTGAGAACCTATAAAAGCCCTTTGCATATAATAAACCCACAGATGTTGGTCATTATTACCTTCAATTGTCAGGTTCTTAGTGAAAGTTGTTTTAATGTAAGTAAAAGATTAACTGTGAAAGTTAACTTACTAATTTATATTAACATTTTCACTATAGTAGAGGATAAGTGATTGGATAATTTGACTCTAAATTTGCTCATTTAATCATGGATTGTTTTATTACATTTATTTTTTGTGATGGGCTGTAATATTTTAGAACATATCTTCAAGTATGTACTCATTCACAAATAGGTTTTCTTCTGTTGCCTTTTAAAGTCTATTCAAGTGCCAAGATGTAAAAGACTGTTTTTGCAGTCCAAGGGAATAGTGAACCTCCTAGAGAATAAATTTGTGTTGACGTAAAATTACCTGTCTTTAAGGTGGAATAAGACCTCAGGACAAAGGCTCTGCTTACTGCTTACTGTAACATCCTAGCATGTAGGCCTGCATTCCTGGGTTTAGCTAAGTACTCCTTGTGTTTTGTGAGATACTCTACATACATAATTCTTAAAGCACTGGACAGATGTTACTGAAGTTTTGTGTTTGTGTCTGTCTCTGACTACACCATGGGGAAGGCTTGTCTTATTTTTGTTTCTAACTTCTGTGTGCTACATTCTATCAGGACAGAAGAACTATTGTACTCAACAGCAATATAGGTTGCCACTTGAAGAAACTTACTATTTTAAATAACATGTCTGAAAATCAGCAATTTTGATGGCTTTAAATTATTCTATAAATTTGGTCAGCTGCAACAAAATGTTAGGAAAGTCCTAATTTCCAAAATAAATTGTGACTTCTTTAAAGTTTTGTGACACATTACTAAAATGCAGTTTTAAAAGCTGTATTTCCTAGGTCTTTCTATTTCATACCTTCTCTTTATTTTCCTGATTCTCACTCCTCAGAACGGTAGATATAACTGTGTGTTTCTGGACTTTGGAAGCTCTATTTGACAGCTGATTTAGTTAATTCATGAAACTTGGGAGTAAAAAGAGGTGATAAGTTGTCTTTTTAAGAGACCATTGCTTACTTTTCTTAATATAGTGAATCAGAAATCAAAATGTGCCAGAGATCATATTATACATGTTCATATGTGAATCTCTACATCATTAATCTGTGCAGATGTGTGCTCATTCTTCTGATGGCAGTGAATTTCATGTAGGATTATTGTCCTTTTAAAGAGAAGCTATGCCAAAGGTGACTAGAATACAATCCTAGTATTAAATTTGAATGTATCCTTAAAAATAAAGTATCAGGGAGTCAGACATCACAATACATTCCTGTATTTTAATGAGCTGTAATAATGGTCATTGTTGCTGTTGGCAGTAGCCAAACAAATATTCCGTTGTGCAAATGCTAGCCGAGCTACGGCGTGTTTTCTACATACCGTCTTTGTGGCATGTATAAACTGCTGTCTCCAAATTTTATAAATACAAAGTCTTCAAGAGTGACTTCAAGTTGACAATGTTATTGTTCTCACAAGCCTTAGTATTTTCACTTTTTTTCATAAATAATTTTTAAACTCTAAATGAGGTACGCTTATAATATTTTTAATAATAGCCTAGGATGTCTTCTTTGAATTTCATTATTTAAACATGACAGTATAAAACCACATTGACAGTATAAAAACCACATTGAATTAAATGAAAATTAAAAGATTTGTTCTCATTTTACATTTAAAATTTTTAGTTATTCTTGATTTTGAAATTAAATCCATTTCCTTGAAGTTTTATTTTTTACAACAAAAAATCTAGAGAAAAATTCAAACTGTTTGAGTACATTTTAAACTCATTTATTATATTTTCAGAAGCAACACACCCATGCTGCTTTTACAATTCAGATAGAAATAAACATAGTTCCATTTGCTCTCAAGTCACATTGTAATCTTATGGCATGGGAACTAAGATGAACTTTCTCATTTTGTTTTCAGGTTTCCTAGTTAATATACTTTGAGTTAAAGATAAATTTTTTAGTTTTAAAACTGTACAGTGCTTAATTTTCTTCTTTTCCCACTTAACCTCATTTTTTTTCTCAAATAGCTTCATAATCTTTAAATTCTTCTTTTTCTGTTTTTTTTTTTTTCAGGTCGTTTGAGCTATCCACATCCAGGAACTGACAATCTGTTGATGTTAAATGGTAAGTTTTACCAAATGTTATGTTTTCATTTGATTCATACAAATGAAGAGATTAAATATGTATTCCCCTGAACCTTCCCCCATATAGACAGTTTAGTCATCTTGTAAAAGTGGAGCAATGTCCAGGCATGGCTGTACTCACCTGTAGCCCCGCTCTTCAGGATGCTGGAATGAACATCTCTTGACCCATCAGTTACAAATCATCCCAGGCAGCAGAGTGAAGGCTCATCTTTTAAAAACACGAAGTGAAGCTGCAGGAACTAGGAATCTGTATGTTTTGTCCCTGAAAAAAATAGTCATTGAGAAATGCATTTGTGACAATATAATTCAAACACCTCAACCTCAGGAGTGATCCTTGTTTGAGTGTTGGGGTTCTATTTCAAGCTGTTACCTAAGGCCAAAAACATTGTTCTTAGTTTTCTGTTTCCCATTCTATAAACTGGAGATAAAGACTCACAGCTTCTAAGAATTGAATAAGATAAAGTTTGCAAAGTACATAGACCCTAGTACTCAGTATAAGCATTTGTGCTTATTTTATGGAATATACTGGTGAGTTTATTAATATAGTAATCATACTGATTTAACTTATTCTAACTTTCCAATTAGAAGTTCACCAGCCAGAAAAGAAAAACTTCGATTAAACTGTGATTTTTCTTGACATTGGACAAATATAAATATATTTATAGTCACAGGATGTAGTATAGACATAATCATGGGAGTGGAGATGAGAGGGAAAGTCCTTTCTTCAGGAGTAATTTTGAATTAGAGGCAAGGAGAGGCAAAGAAGAGGGAGACCTATAAATAATACATACTTAAAATCACTTCGTTATGTTGGCTTGGCTCTTTTCATGTAAAGCTTTATTGAAATAGGATGTAATGAAGCTGTATAAGCAGATCTGAAAGGGAGGTCACTGTGAAGGGAGGCCATGTGGACGATGACTACAAAGACAGAGGTGTAGAAAGGAAGCTTGTCACCTGAGGAGTGTCAGGGGAGACAGGATTCTGGAATGAGAGAAAATCTTGAAGCAGAAGGATAGGGGAGATGATGGGTTGATCACGGTCTGGTATAATGCACTGAGTGGCCAAACATGTAGCAGCCTAATCTAACCTAGTCTAAGTACTGGGACTTTGATAGAATGATTAAGATAGATAGCAAGGAGCTTGGAAAGGCACAATGGTTTGGTAGCTTATGTTGTTGTTGTTTTTGTACTAGTCTATTCATCGGTTGCTTTTGTAAATTGTCTAAAGTTCTGTAAATACTGAATGGATTATGCTTCTTCATAAAGAAGATATGAGAATTTTTATTTCAGGCAGGTTACGTCTAGTAGAAAATATATTTATTTTATTAGTTTTTAAATATGAGCACTCGTAATTGTTTGCATTTGAGGTGATAGTGCTTACTCAATGAAGAAAGACAACCTGGGAATTTTGAACATTTTTAGCAAGGGAGAAGGAAAAAGAAGGTAATGACTCTAGGACATCAAAATGTGTTCAGGTCAGGACAAGAGATTTGCTCCAAAGAGAAGCATGTCCTTTTTTATTCCCTGGGGACAAACAGTTAAGAGGTGAAACAGGATTCACTTCACTGAGTACATCCATGGGGTGAGGAAGTCTTAAAGTGTGAGACATTGAGGACACTGAATAAAGGCAGATAACAGCACTTGCTTGGTAAGGGGAAATTTTTCTTTAACAAATACAGTTTAGCTATATTCTTAGCATGTTGTGTTCTCTGGAAATCAGCGAATTAAGTGATGCTAGACAAGTCTCTTCTGATATTAAGTAGTAATTAAATATTACTGACTGAAGTGCAGCATCTTATGTCATAGATTGAACTCACTGTAGGGAAGTTGGTTAAGTATGTTGCTTCACCATTACTTATTATTGTAAGCATAGCTAATACTGTTCACTTTAAAGAAAAGTGTTTAGTAGTATATTATGCATCATCATGTTTTGTGGAGGTGTGTGGGTGGCATCACAGACTCTAAGGCTAGCTTGCCTTTCTTTACAACCTGGAATGGCATACCTTACTTGACCCTGACTTCATTTCTTAATATCTAAACCAGAGCACACTGCTTGCCGCAGGTGACTATTGAGAGGAGTGAGTGAGTTCATGCACGTATTTAGAACAGCTTCTGTGAGTAAATATTACCTGGGGAGAGTGAGTGATGGAAATCAGTGCAAAAGATCATCATGCCTGAAAGCCTGGTCCTCCACGAACAGACAAGGAGCTGGGCGATTACTTCAGACAGCATAAGAGAAAGAGACCACATGAATGATGTTTTCAGCTATTGCAAGGATGTTGTGTATGATGAGCAGAAAGCTGGTTTTGTTATTGCAGGAAAACAATAGGAAGATACTACATGAGAAACTTTATGTAACGGAAAAGTTCGGGTCCCTTGTTTTCTGCAGTACAGAATCCTTCTTCCATGGAGTACACAGGATAAATTTCAGTGGTGCACAAATTTTATATATATATATATATATATATATGTATGTATATATATATATATGTATATATATATACACACATATATAATTAAACAAATTTATGACTGTTGTAGTTAAGAGCATTCCTGAGAAAATACATATAGCTGACAGAAATCAATGATTACAGTGATATCAGGCTGATACAGTGAAATCAGAATGGCTTTAATTAAACATAGTATAATATAAATAATAGTAATATAATGCCAATAAGATATACTAACATTAGAAAGACCTTATAATTACTCCTTAGTAGTTGTAGTTAAAACTTTCAGATAAAGGTTTAAGCTGGGTGGGCGGTGGTGGCTCACGCCTTTAATCCTAGCACTCGGGAGGCAGAGCAGGAGTTTGAGGCCAGCCCGGTCTACAGAGCGAGATCCAGGAAAGGCGCAAAGCTACACAAAGAAACCCTGTCTTGAAAAACCAAAAAGGTTTAAATAAATCTCAGGGTAGGAGGTCAACCAGGACGATGATGACACAGCAAAGCATTAGAGAGAGCCTCTGCTGAACTCATGACTCTGAGCCTCTGCTACTCAGATGCCCCTTAACGTGAGGTACAGTACCACATCCACACCCACATAGCTCATGGAGTTGTATAGACTAAAATTTTATAACATAAAATGCCATATAGGGTGCCATTAATTATGGCACTCAGGAGGCAGAGAGTAGCAGATCTGTCTTTGAGACCAGCCTGTTCTACATAGCAACTTCCATCTAGCCCGGGACGAATAGTGAGACCTTGCCTCAAAAGAATACACACACACACACACACACACACACACACACACACACACACACACAACCACAGAGAGGCTCCTGTTTCTGAATAGACTGTGTTCCTCAGATGAGTTTGGAATCAAGTGGACTTGATGTAGCGACTGCTGTTACTTTAAGTTGCTGTAATTGTTAAGTCTCTGTTGTGTGCCCATGTTTAGTGCTCATTGGCTTTTTAAGAAAGTCACATTATATGCAGATATGGACTGTTCAAAAACCCACTTTTAAATATTTAGAATGATAGTTTGTTTACATTTTCTGAGTGTATAAACCTAACACATATAGTATCAGGAGGAAAACATAAAGCCAGTGCCAGAAATTTGTGTGTTTTCTGCAGTAGTAAAGAATATAAGGTTATGTATGTCGAGTATTTGTCTCTATTTGGATTGAATTGCATTTTCCCTACTTTTCCCGAAGAAAATAACCTATTTTATTAGTTTCCTTTCACAACAGAGCAAAGGTGAGGGAAAAGGTATTAGCAAGTTAGTTTGGACTTTAAATTTGCATCTATTATCCATATATACAACCACTTACATGATCAAGAGCTTGTTTTATTTTTGGAGTGAAATGAATTCTAGAGATCTTTTAATTAAGGAAATGTACCCAAGGCTAGCATGGTGGTACACACCTGTCATCCTAGCACTTGGGAGACAGGCAGGAGGACCAAGAATGTATGATAATCCTCAACTACATAGTGAGTTTGAGGCCAACTTGGGCTAAAAGAGACCCTGTCTCAAGACAGCAAGACTGTTGTTGATTCAGTACTTCTAAAGACGGATGCTCCAAATCAACTCTATCAATTTATGAAGTTAGGAAACCAGGGAGAGTGAAGGGAGTGGATGGAGAGGTGGGAATTTGAAAAGGACTGTTATTTGGACCATAGGTATTTTTCTTTTTGGTTTTGCCTTGTTAACCTATATTTCTAGCTGATTTTGTATTTTTTTCCTATGCTACCTTTTAGATTAAGTGATTTAGCTCTAGAGCTGAGAGGACCAGTACTTAAGAACACAAAGTACCTAAACAGAGTATAAAAATTGTTGTTTCCTTATTGTCATTGGTGCTAAAACCTAAATAAGATCATTGGTAATTCTACCCTGAATTTTACAGTCATTTGTATAGAAAGAAGACTTCAAAGTACTTCAGAGCTCCTTTATAGTAAAGAGTATCAGCAATATAAAATCAATATATTTCCCACTTCAAATCATTCTTATTTGGAGGTTCAGCCTGTTCAAAGAAGGCTTTTTAAAAATGTAATACTCACATTGACTGTCTTGTTTTTTGGTAGAGGTTCTTGACCATTCTGCTGCAGTTACACTGAAACAGACCCCAGAACTCCACATAGAAATGTGTCTAGAAATGTGTTACACATGTTTTAGTACAGTGGTAGCAACATGGTGATTTCCATGATAGAGTAGAAGATGTTTTGCATAGTTTAGCTTCATTTGCAGTCAATTCTGTTTTGCTTTTTCATCTCCCCCCACGATGTATGCAAGTGTCAAGATGTGGAAGCTATGTGTAGGCCATATTTATTGTCCCTGTGGAAGTCAGAGGATGAGTAACAGGAGGTGTTCCCTGCTTCCAGGTGGGGTTCCTGGGATTGAACTCAGGCCTTCTGGCTTGCATGGCAAGTGCCTTTTACCCATTGAGTACCACACTGGCCACACTTCTGGTTTTAGTGGTGTAGAGACTGAATCTTAGTAGAAAATTTTTTACAGGATTAGTAGAGTGGTTTTTTACAGGATTCTGAAATTCCTCTGGTGTAAGATAATTGGGAAGATTTTCTAAATGATTATGCTCAAACCTAAGAATGGCATGAAACTTAAGATACTATAAATATTTATGTTTTCACTATTTTAGTATTGAGTAGCCCTGTCTAAGAGTATAAAAGTTAAGAATTATCATACAGGATTGGTGTTGCCTTACTAGATTGAGAATTATTTGCCACATTCAATTTCATCACAATTTATAATTTGATTTCAAACGTGTTGAAAATAATTTCATTTGTTTTATGAATCTTTGATCTCTGAACCACTGTTGAAATTGTCCAGAGTAAACTTAACTTGATTAATTTTATTAGCTCATTCCTAGGAAAAGCTGAAGGCTCAACTCCTGAGACGTTGCTATGCAATGTTTGGGGCCTGTTGACCACTTGAAGGCTTAACTGTTAAAAACTAAGGAATTTCATTCTCCTTCACTTAATAGCTCTGTTTAAATTATGTTTATCAACCTGATTTTCTACAGTTAGTTTCCCATTAGAATGAAACTATTTTAAAAACCCTTTTACATCTTAAAATTTGACGATAAAATTCTACAACTGTTGTCTACTTTTACCCTCACCCTAAACTAACACATATGTTAAGTAAGATGTGAAGCAAATCTGTAGACTTCAAGTCCATTTGTGCTCAAGAACAGACCGAGTGTATACCATAATGACAGAGATAAAGCTAATTAGCTTGCTTAAAGGGATGATAGAAGCCTTATGCTTATTGACTTAGTTCTTGGAAGTAGCAATGACTAGATCTGACATGTTTGCCTTCCCTACTCATTATTATAGGAAAATTAGTGCCTTATTGGCATATAGTAGCATTTCTTTATAGCGAAACCTTACTATAAAGTTCAGGGTATATTTTTTTTAAACTTTACATAACACAGTACATACTTATTATATGAAATACATCTTTTGACCTTTATGTTTTGTACTTTAGAGAGATGATATTTCTGGCAAGTTCTAATACAAATTGTGAATTGAGATTTTCAGCATTGAATTTTTCTTGCTTACCCAATCTATAAACATGAATTAAGACCTCAGTCTTACAGCATTCATTTTATTTTGTTTATTGTTTGCTACATATAACTTATCGAGTAAAACACTCATTGCGTGCACTAATTGAAGCGAAAGATTTTCTTGACACTGGTAACTTCTTACGAAAGAGAAATCATGTTCATACACTGTCCATGGGATTAATGTAAACTACTAGTTCCTTTCTACTTTATATTGCTAGCATTTACCATTCCATGAGGGTAGTAATTTTAATAGACTAGAATTCCGTTTACCTAGAGGCAGACACATAGTCAGTAGCTCTTATAAAACATGTCAGAAGACTAGAAAGCGTCGTTTCTGTCATTTGCCATAGTCTCTTACTGTTTCCCTAAGCGGCTTTGAACTCCGCTTTGATTACAGGACTTAGATTCAGATCTCAGTAATTGACTCTTAACAGTCTGCATCTTCTGGTACTACCTTCATCAGGGTGTGGTGCCGTGGAGGTGGAGTCTACATAGATGGAGGACAATATATACCATACAAATTCTTATCAAACTAAGAAAAATGGGAATTTAATTCAGGATAGTTTCCTTCATTGAGAAAGCTATTTAGGGAGCTATTTAGCTGTAAATTGTTACATCTTTTTATCATGATTAGGGGAAACAACTACTTGTGAGTTTTAAATGTGAATTAGAATAAATTTTACAGCTTTGGATGACTCAGATTGCATGTGTATGAAATATTTGTAAAATAATATATCTGACATATATCACATGTATATCTGTATGTATGTGTATGTATAAGTACTTTGTAAATGATAAAATGTGCAAATTATAAGTGTTGACATTATCATATGTCTTAAAATATGGTTTCTAAATGCCCACATAACTTTTCATATCACAGATATTTGTATGTGTGGGCTTATTTTTAGTTCTAACATTTTACAATTTGTCCTTTGTTTACATGCAGCAAGGAGTTATGGGCGAAGACGAGGTAATTCCTTTCTGTTTGCTATAGTTCATCTGTTTCTAATTGGGCTGTATTGATTATGTCATAATTACTGATTTCAGAATTCTTTATGCAATGTCTGAAAGCTCATAGAGGAATTACACATTGATGTGAACACTTACCAACTTTTCAAATTCTAACTCTTAATCTACAAGGGTGTATTTTCATACTAATGGTTAGTAAATAAAATTTGTCCTTCTTAAACTGTCCAAATTTTTAACTCTTATTAAAAATTATATTTGTATCTTCTAAAATAAGGCTGTTTTTTATCTACTTAAGAAATAAGTTTTTTAATATTAACCAGAGTGACATATGATGTGATTTTCTGCTCTATAACCAATTGTCTTATCGATGATTGTGATTTTCGTTGGACTCAGTTGGAAGTGACACCTGTGTAAGTAGATTACTATCATCATTGACAGAAACCATGTAGCTAATGTTTCTGTGAAGCTGTGATCCTGTCAGCCCCTTTGTCTAGCCTGCACACTACTGTCCTTGAGCACTTTTATTGGGACCAAGGGACAAGGCTTTGTGGCATGGGGCTACTACTGAACTCCCTCAGAACACAAGAACACCTTCAATGGCTGAAACCTTGCCCCTCCCTTTGCCATGTGCAGAAATCGAAAGTGGGAGAAGCCAGCATGAGAAGAAGCAAAATTACATGAGTAGAGCAGTGGGCAGTATCTGTTTCTATACAGTTCTGCACACTGAATAAAAAGCGGTTGCTCTCATCTCTAGAATTTCCCTGAAGCCAATGAAGATAGACAGTAATAGCTGTGCCCTGGGTTATATTTTATATGTGTGTGGCAGTGTCTTCATCTGCTGATGAGCGTGTTCCCCAAAAGCAAAACCAGTTACCACCACTGATAAGCAACATTAGTACTTTATGCTCTTAAGCAGTAGTTCTAATTCCATATTTCAACTTGACTTCATTGCTGGAGTCTTGACTCTCTAAATACTTGATTGAATCATTAGCTCCTTCACTTTTCTTAAAAAAAAAAAGAAAAGAAAAGAAAAGAAAAAAACTGGAAGAGAGTGAGGCTGAGTTACTTTCTAACGGCTGTTATTAGTGAGCTGAGAAGGGAGTGGGAAGGTTACAGTGTTCATATCTATTTTCAGATCTGTGATCTAATTCACTTCGCAGTCAAGTGGGGAACTTTGATTCTCTTGAAAATAACTGTTTACCAATCTGTGAATTTTTTTTTGGTAATTTTAAAATGATAGAGCAGTTCAGAATCCCTTTCATGTCAGAAACCTTTTATCTCTAGTAACATGTGTTAAGTCGATTGAGCATACACTGGTATAAATATAATATGCTAAATTTTTAAGAGCAAGGTAGCAGAGTCAGTGATTTTCTTGTTAGAGCTCAGCTCAGTAACTGCAGACTGTGACACAAGAAGGGAAATAGACATTTAATTCCTTGATGCTCAGATAGAGACTTGTTACCTGCCTAGCTGTGTCTTCCCTTGGGAGCTGTAAGAGAGGTGCTCCATTTCAGAGCCACCTAGGCATGCAGGTGTAAGGCTCTATCCGCGTCCTTTCCCTGTCCTGAGCTGGCAGCTCCTCCACACAGCTGCTTCAGTAGACAGGGAGCTGCAGCCGTTTCCCCAGGTTGTAACAGTGTGGCTGTCATGCAATTGTAGTTATCCTCTAGGGGCTGCATGAATCTGCTGCTACAGTTCCGGTTTGCATGGTCAGATGAGGAAGGTTGAGTCTTGAAATGTAGCTGCTATGAGATTTTATTTGAATTTGGCAATACCTTAGCTTGGTAAGTAAGAGAAATATTTTACAACAAAAACTTGTATAGCAGAAGAACAGTTCAGAAAGGAGTAGAGATGCTTGTCTGGCTATCTTTCTATTTCCTCTTCATTTGCCCCTCATGCTGATACAGTACCAGTCTCCAAACCTAGCCAACCAGGAATCTCCTATTATGAACTTGTGGATTTGATGGGCTAGTGAAATGGTGTGTGTTCGCTTTGGTCTTTCTTTTTTGTTAGAGTAAATAAAGCTTCTCTGTTTGTGAGGGATGTGTCAAAATGAGTTGGCACAATTGGCCAAAACCAAGTCCTGGCTGGCACCAGTGCAGTGGGGGTGGGGCAGCATCAAATGTCAGAAGGCAGTCTGGCTCCCAGTAGCCAGTTGGTTTTAGAAAGAACTGGTTTCTTCCTTTCCACCTTTAATTGACCTTTCAGTGCAGCATAGAGCAGCACTTCCCACTTGACTATAGTTAAACTAAATTACTGCCAGAATCTCCTTGATATATTTCCAGTTCCTTAATAATGTCAATAAGAACTTTAAATCTAGCTGGCTCTAGATATTGATTTATGACATAAACTTTAGAGATGTTCAAAGTATAATTATACCAGAAGTAATTGAGCACAACCAAGATTCCTTTTTCTGAATGTCGGAGCCTGGGGCCATGGGAAGCTCTGCCGCACTAGGAAAGAGCATGTCGAAGCTCCTTGACATCAGGAAAACTGCTTCTTTTGTAGTTGCTGTTTTGCTCAGTGTTTCTGCCATCCCTTTCTGAGAATAGGGTCAGGATTATGCTGAGATGTGTGTAGGACTATTTAAATTCTGTCACTCAGAATTTTCTATGTCACAATCCCTCCTTTTTATTATTAATTAAATTTATTCATTTATTTTACATCCTGACCACAGTTTCCCCTCCCTTCTCTCTTATTTCCTCCCCCACCTCCCCCATAGCTCCCCCAAATCCAGTCCTCCTCTGTTTCTGTTCAGAAAGGGGCAGGCCTCCCATGGGTGTCAACAAAGCATGGCATAGCAAGGCATATTAAGGCTGGGCAATACAACCCAGCATAAGAATAGGTTCCTGGACCTGTCCCTAGTGCATGGGCCAGCTTTTTGGAGCCTAGTGCCTATGGTGAGACACTTTGCACAGCCTTGGTACAAGGAGGAGGAGCTTGGACCTACCTCAACTGAATGTACCAGGATCTGCTGACTCTCCATGGGAGACCTTGCATTGGAGGAGGTGGGAATAGGGGATGGGTTGGGGGGAAAGCTGGGGGGCGGGAGGAGAGGGGAATCTGTGATTGGTATATAAAATCAATAGAAAATATCTTAATAAGAAATAAGAAGAAAAAAAAAAGAATAGGTTCCTGGAAGCCAGCCAAATTGTCAGGGCAGTCCCTTCTAATAGAGGAATAAACAGCTATTGTTTTGCAGAAAGAAAATAAAAAATAGGGTAGTTTGAATTATAAAAATAAAGAACTTATTTTATTTACATAGTAGCCACAGATTCTCCCTCTTCCCTCCTCCTGTCCCTCCATCCTCCCCCTCCAACCTACCCCCCATGTCCTCCTACAAGAAGGTAAGGCCTCCCATGGGGAGTCAGCAGAGCCTGGTGCATTCAGAAAAAGGCAGGTCCAAGCCCTTCCCCATATGCCTCAAGGCTGTGCAAGGTGTCCCACCATAAGTGGAGGACTCCAAAAAGCCAGCTCATGCAGGGAAGGATCCTGATCCTACTGCCAGGGAACCCCTTAAGCAAAGCAAGCTACACAAGATCTCCAAAATATATAAAGAATTCAAGAAACTAGACATAAAATACTGAACAATCCAATTAAAAAATGGGCTACAGAGCTAAACAGAGAATTCTTAACAGAGGAATCCCAAATGGCCAAAAGACATTTAAGGAATTGCTCAACATCCTTACTCATCAGGGAAATGCAAATCAAAATGATTCCGAGATACCATCTTATACCTGTCAGAATGGCTAAGATCAAAAACACTGATAACAGCTTATGTTGGAGAGGATTGAGAGCAAGGGGAACACTCCTCCACTGTTAAGAGTACAAACTTGTACAGCCACTTTGGAAATCAGTATGGCAGTTTCTCAGAAAATCAGTCTTCCTCAAGACTATACCACTATTGAGCATATATCCAAGGAATGAATGCTCAATCATACCACAAGGACACATGCTCAGCTATGTTCATAGCAACATTATTCAGAATAGCCAAAACCTGGAAACAACCTAGATGCCCCTCAACTGAAGAATGGATTAAGAAAATGTGATACATATACATGATGGAGTACTACTCGGCAGTAAAACACGATGACATCATGCAATTTGCAGACAAATGAGTGGAACTAGAAAATATCATCTTGAGTGAGGTAACCCAGACTGAGAAAGACAAACATGGTATGTACTCCCCCACAAGCGGATACTAGAAGTAAAACAAAGGATAAACAGACTACAACCCATAGCTCCAGAGAAGCTAGCTAACAAGGAGGACCCAAAGAGGGATGTGTGGATCACCCTGGGAAGGGGAAATAGATGAGATCTCCATGAGTAAACTGGGGATGAGGGGTGGGCAATGGAGGCTATGGGATGGGGGAGGAGAACATCAGGGAAGGAGATGGTCCAGCTGGAACAAGGATGGAGTGGGAGAACAATGAAAGAGATACCATGATAGAGGGAGGCATTATGAGGATAGGGAGAAACTGGGTGCTAGGAAAGTTCCCAGGAATCCACAAGGATGACCACAGCTTAGACTACTAGCAGTAGTGGAGAGAGTACCTGAACTGGCTTACCCCAGTAATCAGATCAGTGAATACCCTAACTGTCATCATAGAGCCTTTCTCCAGTAATTGATAGAAGTAGATGCAGAGATCCATAGCCAAACACCAGCCAGAGCTCCAGGAGTCCAGTCAAAGAGAGAGAAGAGCGATTCTATGAGCAAGGGGCATCAAGATCATGATGGGGAAACCCACAAGGACAACCAAATAAAATTAGTGGGAACTCATGAACTTTAGAGGCTGTGGAGCCTCCATGGAACTGGGCTAGGCCTTCTGCATAAGCGAGACTGTTGATAAGTAATTATAATAGTTACCAGAGAGAGAGCAAGAGCCTCTGAAGCATGCAAAGCATCCCTATAGTAGATACATAGAAGGATAGCTGGCCATGGCTCAGGGCACAGCCTCCCGTGCTTGAACAGCTTTTAGATTTGGTAGCAGCACTGGCATT